ATTCACACCGACTCTGCACGGTTCAGTTAACCGGCTGAGCGTTCCACGATGGACCGTTCCCAAACCGGTTAATCTGGTGGATGGCCAGGAGCGCTTGACAAGAGGACAGATCTAATTGACTTTAATCTACTCACTTCGGCATTTACCGTTAACAACAACAACAGGTTAACAGCCGCAACCTCAACTCGACCGGAACACTCTACGCAGGAGCGCTCAAGAAGCGGAACGCTCCACGCAAGAACGCTCAAGACCATGACGACTACCAAGCGTGCCGAAGTCCTCTTCGGGAGTGGGAACTTCTTCCATTGGGAGTACAATATGCGCATGACGCTAGCCAGAAAGGGCTTGCTTGCGCATATTCAAGTCGTCAAGCCTGAGAGCGAGATCACCGAGGCGTGGCTCGTCAACGATGCCAAGGCGCTTGGCATCATCGCCCAGGGTGTGAAACTCCAGCGCCAGACCAAGATCCGGTCGGCGACGCGTTCCATGGAAGCATGGGAAACGCTCCGCGAGTTCAACAATCGCACCACGCTCCACAACCGCGTGACGATGACGCGTCGACTGCACGAGTTCAAGATGGAGAGCGGATCGTCTATGGCCAAGCATCTGGATGCGTTCGATGAGCTGATCGTCGGTTTGCAGACGCTGGGAGAGCCCATGGACGAGGCACGTCAGCTGGTGGTACTGCTGAGCAGCCTCCCCGCCGAATACGAGCTCATATCGTCTATCGTGGAGAACGCCAAGGGTGTGACGCTCATCGAGGCCAAGGAGAAGCTGTTGAAGGAGTATGAGCGACTCGAGAAGAAGGAAACCACGGAGAAGGCGTTCCAAGTGAATACGAACGCAGGCAAGTTCCGAAACGGCCGAGGGAACGGTCGGAAGTGGACCGCTCCGAAGCGGAACGTTGGTTTCAAGGGCAAGTGCTTCAACTGTGACCACGTGATCCACATGAAGCGGGACTGTCCTGCTACGAAGAAGGGTAGCCAAGACGATGCAGTGTTTGCAGTTGGTGGGGAGCGCTCGGCCGGGTGGCTGATTGATAGCGGTGCGACGTCGCACATGACCCCTCACAGGAACGACCTGTTTGAGTACAAGTCGTTGGACACTAGCATGGAGGTGACGATTGCAGACGGCAAGAAGCTGCACGTCGCAGGAACTGGAACGGTCAAGTTGACTGGTTTGGACGGTAGACGCATCCGTATGGTGGACGTGATCCACATCCCCGGGCTCGATAGACGCTTATTGTCAGTCGGGAAGCTCGCGGAACGCGGTATGAGTGTGGAGTTCCAGCGTTCCAGTTGTGTAATTTGGGGACGGAACGCTGCAATAGCGTCCGGGAAGAAAATCGGTAAGGCATTCCTGTTGGACTGTCAGCAGGAGGAGGCCCATTTCGTGGAATACGCCGATGCAGACAGCGAGTGGGAGCTTTGGCACGCTCGCATGGGTCACCCCAACAAGGACGCACTGACGAAGACCCAGCGTTCCACGACCGGTATCCCGCCAGTAAGAAAGGGGTGCAAGACTTTGTGCGGTGGTTGCATGAAGGGAAAGCAGACCGTGACGGCGTTCCCGTCACGATCACTGACGAAGACAACGCGTGTGTTGGAACTAGTACACACGGACGTTATGGGACCAATGAGAACGCTCTCAAAGGGGGGTGCCAAGTACGTGCTGACCTTTGTAGACGACTACTCAATGTATGTCGTGACATTCTTCATGAAGAGCAAGAGTGAGGTGGGCAGCAAGCTGAAGGAGTTCAAGGCACTGTATGAAAATCAGTGGGGGGAACGATTGAAGTGCCTGCGTTCCGATAATGGAACGGAGTTTGTAAACAAGACGGTATTGGAACTCTGTCAGCGGAATGGCATCGTGCATCAGGGCAGCGCTCCATACAGCCCTTAGCAGAACGGTGTTGCGGAACGCATAAACCGTACCATCATGGAGAAGGCACGAAGCATGCTGCACTACAAGTCTATGTCGACGGAGGGGCTCGCGGGCATGAGAGCGGTGAGTAGTCGGATCGAAGCTGACCGTGTAATCAACCGTCCACGAACACATCCAAGGCGTCGCTATGTCCACGCCATATGAGCTGGCGTTCCAAGTGAAGCCACGGATGGAACACCTACGCGTGTTTGAGATCACAAGGGTACGCTCACGTGGATGACGTGAAGAGAACGAAATTGGAACCTAAGAGCTTCAGGTGCACGTTCCTCGGATACGCAGAAAAACGTAAAAGGGTATCGTGTCTACGACTTGGGATGCATCCAAAGTCAAGGTGTCACGATCGGTAAGGCTGGACGAGCGTGAGGTGGGCGGTATCTATGACACGCCGTCGCCAGCTTCTGGAACGATCATCCATGTGACAAGGACCGATGACGACACCGTGGCTCCAGCTCCAGAAGTGGAACGACGGTCTGTTCAAGATGAACCGATGGAAGAAGCGGAAGCACCTGCTCAAGACATTGAGATGGACGATGTTGAACCGGAACGGAACGCAGAGCTACCACAGCTACCCTCACCGGAGGAACGCCGGTCGAGTGGACTGGAACTGGCAACGTACCGCTCACAACCTCCTGCGTTCCAAGAGGACCGGATAATCTTCCATCCTGAAACGGAACGCTCAACCCGACCTCGGGAACCGGTGTTTCTGCTTGGGAACGGCTACGATGACGATGTGGAACGTCAGTCTGAAAGAGGTAGTGATGGACCGCCGTCTCCTAAGCGTCCTAGGATCGATGAAGACTGTTTACTCGCAGAGGCAGTGCTGGCATACGCGGCCAGCATCGGAGGCGTCCCGGATACGCCGAACACGTACGCAGGAGCTATCGCCAGTGATGAAGCAGCTGAATGGCGTCGGGCTATGAAGGCTGAGTTACACTCTCATTCCCAGAACGGAACGTGGACGTTGGTTCCATGTGGAACGGCTACGCGCTCCATTGGATGTCGCTGGGTGTTCACCAAGAAGCGTGGCGAGAACGGTCGTGTTATCCGTTACAAGGCACGCCTAGTAGCTCAAGGGTTCAAGCAGAAGTTTGGAATCGATTTTTTTGAGACGTATTCTCCTGTTGCAAACATGAACTCGATTCGGGTTGTACTCGCTGTGTGTGTGTGGCATGCGACTACATTATGGAGCAACTGGATGCTGACACAGCGTTCCTAAACAGTGGTTTGGTGGATTTGGCCTACATGGACGTTCCACTTGGTCTCGAGAACGCTGAAGGCATGAAGTGCAAGCTGCTAAAGGCCATATATGGTTTGAAGCAAGCTGCAAGTGCATGGAACTAGACTATCTATCGTGTGTTCCTGCGGAACGGTTTCAAGAGTTGTGGAGCCGACCAGTGTGTCTACGTCAAGCGTTCCAGGGACGCATTCGTGTACGTGTGCCTGTATGTGGACGACATGATCATTGCGGCGAAGACACCCGAAGCGATTCGCGAAGTAAAGGGCGCTCTGAAGAGTGCCTTCAAGATGAAAGAGCTTGGCGAGGCAAAGTTCATCCTGGGGATGGAGATTGATCATGATAAGGCAGCTGGAACGCTGATGATCAAGCAAACTCGGTACATTGACGACATTGTAGAACGCTTCAACCAACGGAACGCCAATATGTTGGATAACCCATGCGCGTCAAACATGAAGCTGTCGAAGATGATGTCGCCAGCCACGGAGAAGGAACGACGTGAAATGCAGTCAAGACCGTACCGTTCCTTGATCGGATGCCTGATGTACATCACAACATGCACTCGACCGGACATTGCGTACGTTGTAACGCAGTTGTCACGCTTCCTGGAGAATCCTGGAACGCAACACTGGAAGGCAGCGATACGGGTCCTGCAGTACTTGAAGACAACTCGGCAGCACGGTATCGTCTACCAAAGTGGAACGCAAGGTGTCAAGGCAGAGGCGTTCACGGACGCAGACTGGGGAAGCAACATTGACGACAGGCGTTCCGTATCAGGTGTCATGGTCATAATTGGGAACGCTCCGGTTGTGTTCAAGTCCAAGTACCAGAGAACGGCTGCGCTCAGCTCAGCGGAAGCAGAGTACATGGCTCTGAGTCTGTGTACGCAAGAGTTACTGTGGACACGTGCTATTCTCAAGGACATGGGTCACGAGCAAGTGGGAGCGACGCAGGTCTGGGAGGACAATCAAGGTGCTATCGCACTTGCAAGTAACGCTGGGTATCACGCTAGGACCAAGCACGTGGGTATCCGACATCACTTCATTCGAGAGAATGTGAAACGCTCTACGATCAAGGTGGACTACGTCGACACGAAGCGCCAATTTGCGGACAAGCTGACGAAGGCGCTTGGAGCGAAGTCGCTAGCGTTCCTTCGCGAGGCAAGCGGGATCAAGAAGAGGAACGCCGCTGAGTAGCGATCCTTAACGAAGACGGACGCCGTGCAGTAGCGGTGAGTGGGAGTGTTAATTCACACCGACTCTGCACGGTTCAGTTAACCGGCTGAGCGTTCCACGATAGACCGTTCCCAAACCGGTTAATCTGGTGGATGGCCAGGAGCGCTTGACAAGAGGACAGATCTAATTGACTTTAATCTACTCACTTTGGCATTTACCGCTAGCAACAACAACGGCCTTCCTATGAGTATTTACTTAGTATGCAAGACGGTCTTTAGCTTGGTTTTGTTGACAACGTGTCGTATCTTGTAGCTGCATGTCAAATACTCTTGGATGCCAGAAATTTAGCGGCTTGAAGGCGTTTTTTGTAAGTTCTTCCCAAAGCCATAGTATGCCTAACACATTGTAATTAATAAGCGATTGACGCAGTGGCTCCAGTGACGAAGTATATACACGTAGTCACATGGCAGCAGGATGACCAGCACGATTTTATAAAAATAACTGCTTTATACTTTGAATTTTTTAATATCGTACACGGTACTAGAATCTGAAGTCGACGCAAATCTCGTAACTTACACAAGCTGGATAGTCCAACTTTTGTTTTTGACCAATCACCATAACTCAGAAACATTTCCAGGAATGACTCAATGGGCCAGTCAACCGACGACCTATCTGGCGCTCTACGTCGTCTCCAGAGCGACACGCAAGACTTCTGGGCCCCGCTGCACTCAATTCGTCGCGTAGACGCCTCCAGCTTGACCCCTTTACAATTCCACCGGGAGTTCGTGAGTCGCAATGTGCCTGTCGTGCTACTTAACGCCATGACAAGTCCAAAGTGGCAATTTGCAATGGCAAATTGGCAGAATGATGGTCATTTAATTGCCAAAAGTGGCAATCACTCAGTAACTGTGGACGTGACGCCATTCGGTCTCGGAGACGCCGTTCTTGAGCTCCCTGGAGACGCCGAGGACCTTTTCGTCATGCCTGAGGAGAGGAACATGCCAATGGCAGAATTTCTTAAAATTATGGAAAACCGAGACGAATTTGACGGTGTTCCCTATCTTTCACATCAAAACGACAGTTTGAGGGAACAATTTCCCGATCTTTACGATGAAGTGCCACCCGCTATGGACTTAGCTGTGGAAGCTTTTGGGAACGAGCCGGAAGCTGTGAATATATGGATGGGAGACGAAAGAGCCGTGTCGACCATGCACAAGGATCACTACGAGGTAGCGAATATTTCTACTAGATTTTTTTTTATTGTTTCTAACAAATATTTTTTGTGGATAGAATTTTTACTGCGTGGTGAAAGGCCAAAAGCATTTTACATTGTTGCCCCCATCAGCCGTCGGGTGTCTGTATGAACGAGAGTTTCCCTCCGCGAGGTACCGTCATAAGGACTCTCCGGAGCCGAAGGAGGAGAATCTTCAAGAAGATCTTGAGGCTACCGAGCGATTTCATGAAAACTATCCACAGTATGAGAAGTGGACGATTCTGTCGTCACCTGATAAGGGAGAAACGCCATGGATCCCTGTGGACCCGTTGAATATTGACAAAGAGAAGTACCCTCTTGCAGCTACGTTGAACCCCATTGAAGTCGTGCTGAATGCTGGGGAAGTGCTTTACTTGCCGTCGTTGTGGTATCACCGCGCTGCGCACCTGTGCCCCACAATCTCGGTAAATTATTGGCACGATATGGAGTTCGACTGTCGATATGTGTACTTTAACTTCGTCCACGATATCGGCGCCACAATCACAGCGTTGGAAACGGAAAGGAAAAGAGGCGTAAAGAAGTCAGAGGAAGGCACAAAATAATGGCAATTTTAGGGAGTTGCACACAATTTCTTAGTATTTATTAAAATCTTCTTAGAATTTAAAAGGCAACTGAGAGTGAGTTGACGCCGACTCGCCATGCCGACAAGCGCTTGGCCTCCAGATAACATTTTAGACAAAATTTGGTCGGAAGTTGCCTCTTGTGTTCTCGATGCAAGCTTCTCTTGACTGTACACTTTCGACAAGCTGACTGTCGACAGAGAACACAAATCGAATAGTCGAACAACTTCCCAAGACCGCTATTCAGGTTGCCATTGCAACTGTGACAAGTATCAAGTCCTTGAGCTTCGAGAGTTGGACGAAGATTACCAACGCCCTGACGCTCCGTTTGAAGTAGCCACATCAGCTTTCTTGTGTACGCTTCCTCGATCATCTGCGGTACAGTCATAAGAACGTCGCAGTACTGGTTCATGCTTAACCGCTCAGTAAGTTTACCAACATAATTTGTAAACCCACGGCTGAAGATTTGCACCCCACGGTCTACACCTGAAGGTCTGATAATATGGCAGGCAGAGAATGTTTGTCGTACAAAGCCAAAGTTGCCGTACTCGGGAACTTTGTCCAGTTTGATGGAGTGGATAAGTAGATAACAGAAGCGTTCTCCGTCCGAGTCGAGAGCCATTCCACTTGATTCTAGTATGAGATAATCTCGAGACTTGATGAAGTGCTTAGCAGCACCAGGAGTGGAGAGAGTAAGCCATTTGACGCCTAAGAACCGGAACGGATCTTCGAAACTTGGGCCTTCGATACAAGCCAGAATCTTGGCATTGTCGACGTTTGCATCGGTACATTTCGAGGTGCGTGTCTTCGTACGGAAGTCGGTATCTGCGAGGAACCCCAACGCTGCGTCCTCGACACTCCCAGGCACAGATCCGGTACAAAAGACCATCGGTGCATGGTTTGGCCGTGATTTCTCCAACATCTTAATTTCTAAAGATTTGTTCTCGTAGTCGTTGGCTTCAGGACAAGTGGCGCTGACGCTTAAGTACGAGGAGCTTAAAGCGCTCTTGATATTTTTCTCCGTGACGGGGTAGAATTCTGGTTTCTCTGGATATTTTGCCAGCGCGTCGGTGTCTTCGCTGTTGATCCTTGGTCGAGGTTTCGGAGCCCCCCAACGCCGTGACCGATATGCAGTTATGTTGTCTTTCTTCTTCAAGATCTTCCATTGAACCTTATCAACAACGCAGCCTTGAGATATAAACTCATCACTTGCAGCTAAAGATTCAGCCACGAGTTGGTCAGCTAACTCGTCGAGAGAAGTCGCTGTAGCAGCAGATAGAACAAAAGGCTTGGGAGGGTAGTTAACCTCGAAGTTCATCGCGCAGATTCAGAAGTGGTAAGCCTTGGATCCTCACATGCTGATTTCAGTGAAGGAAACGCCATTGCCTATGCCAGCCGACTTTGTGCCGGCTGGTATGAAACGTGGCTGGTATCGGAACAAGCAAACGAAAACGACACCATGTGTACGAGTATCTAGCGCTGTAATGTTGACTCGAGAGGATAGAGGCAAAATCTAATCGTTGACTTGACCACGACCTGGCAACACGCGATCTTATCAGGTGGCGCGAGTTGCCCTTCCACTCCACCGGCGACATGTCGGTATGATATCATTGATATGCCAAGTAGCTCGTCCTCTTGGCCCAAGACGACGAGCTACCAAGAATTGAAGTTCGTTGGCTTTGTATTTTATGTTCATCATACTTATCTACTGCAACTAGTTCGACCGACATGGACTTGGACAGCGACTTGGACAAAGATTTAGTTGTGGAAGAGGACAAGGATTTATGGGGACGTACTCCTCGTGAGGTCTTCGGTGTCGTCTCGAGTGCAACACTCCACGCGGACAGTTTCATGGCCAGTTTCATGCAATCTTGACAAAAATCCATCCTCTTCTCGGTAATCCCCCCGCTGTTGCCAAAGTCAACACCCACCCGTTTCGACACTGTGCACTTGTTGCAGAAGACCCGATGACACACTTGACAGGCCGATCCGCTTTGAATTAGGCGTCCGAACTTGCTCAAAGAGTGGTGACAGGACGCACAGTGCGTCGGCGCGTGTGTTTGAGTCGCCAGAGTCGTCGCGTGCTCTCTCGCTTCGCGTTCCCTTGCGCTCATCTGCCACTTGAGTTTCTTGACGTATGAGCACTGTACCAGTCCACCCACAGACAGTAACATCTCTTTGAATAGGTTAACTGTGACGCCCTCCAAGATATCGCCGCCCATGTCGTTGAAAGCGCGGCAAAACACTTCAACCTGTCGCTCCGAGTGCGTGCGCAAAATAAAACACGACGACATGAGCACGAATGACGCCAAACTCGGTTAATTCCGGCACCCGGTCCAACGCGTAGCTGTGCTGGAGCACGCACGCCACCCGTTCGCCGTTCGAATCGCGGGAAATACCCGTCGACTCGACGTACACCATGTCACGTTGAGAGATAAACGTACCCAACACTTTTGTCGCCCATTTCACGCCTAGAAAACGAAACGGATCGTCGTCCGTCGGCGTTTTTAACGTCGCGAGGATCTTTTGGTCGTCGTATTCGTCGCCAATGTAGGCGTCGCGCAGACGCCACCGCGCTTCATTGTCCGCGAGTGCCCCAAAGGCTGCGTCCTCCACCGTCCCCTCCATCTTTCCGGTGATTACCATCAACGGCGCACGAGCGGACTGTGCGCGTTCTAATAGCGAGCCGTCCGTTAGGTAATCGGCATCGTGACGATGGCTGTGGCCTCGTGAGCTCGAGGCCTTAGTTTGAGACGCCTCTGAGGACGTGTAGCTGCCGTTACTGCTCATGTCTAAGAGTTGCGGAGGTTCTAGTGACGACGAGCTCTTGCGTCGACGAGAACGATACACATGCAGTTGTTCTTGAGTTTTGACGTACTTCCAGCGCTCCGGGTTGAGTTTTCGGTGGTGCGCGATGAACTTCTCGCTGGTCATCAACGTTTCAGCCACCAGCTCCTCTGTGTAGTTGACGATAGCTTGTTTCTCGGATCTTGAGAGCGCAAGCGGGGGGAACACGTCGGCCGGCAACTTGGACTTCCCCATTGTTGCAGTCTCAACCAAGACGAAAGGTGTCAAGTGAGACGCGAGTACAGCGTGCAAAACTCCAAGGAGGGGCAGGATGGAGGGGAGCGGCGAGACTGGAGTTGCATCTGCCCGTCATGGCTTGCCGTGGACAAGACGACATCACGACATGCACGCTGACATTTTTGACAGGCCCTGACATTAGGCATGGCAGTCGCCGTTGCCGCGTTCCGGCGTACAGAAGGTGAAATGCAATGGCTTATTGTAATACAAATAAAAACACATTTGTCTAAGGTGGCGGAATGCTGGAAGACGAAAAGACGCTATTCCAGGAGTCAATTCTTACACCCTCGTCTTGCCCTTCGCCAGGTGTGTACTCTGTAGGGGACGGACTGAGGTGATGACGCCGAGGTCGTTTTTATCAGCTCGAAAGCACTGTCTGCAAATCCTCGAAACAGATCATCGTTGCATCGAGCTAAAGTAAGCTGAGCACTTCAAGATGTGAGCTGACGCTGGAAAGATATTCCGGAGTATTTTTTTTTAATAATGTAATAGGCACGCTGCGAGCCGCACGCAGCCCTGTTGTTGTTGTTAACGATAAATGCCTAAGTGAGTAGATTAAAGTCAATTAGATCTGTCCTCTTGTCAAGCGCTCCTGGCCATCCACCAGATTAACCGGTTTGGGAACGGTCTATCGTGGAACGCTCAGCCGGTTAACTGAACCGTGCAGAGTCGGTGTGAATTAACACTCCCACTCACCGCTACTGCACGACGTTCGTCTTCGTTAAGGATCGCTACTCAGCGGCGTTCCTCTTCTTGATTCCGCTTGCCTCGCGAAGGAACGCTAGCGACTTCGTTCCAAGCGGCTTCGTCAGCATGTCCGCAAGTTGGCGCTTCGTGTCGACGTAGTCCACCTTGATCGTAGAGCGTTCCACATTCTCCCGAATGAAGTGATGTCGGATATCCACGTGCTTGGTCCTAGCGTGATACCCAGCTTTACTTGCAAGTGCGATAGCACCTTGATTGCCCTCCCAGACCTGCGTCGCTCCCACTTGCTCGTGACCCATGTCCTTGAGAATAGCACGTGTCCATAGTACCTCTTGCGTACACAGACTCAGAGCCATGTACTCTACTTCCGCTGAGCTGAGTGCAACCGTTCTCTGGTACTTGGACTTGAACACAACTGGAGCGTTCCCAATCATGACCATGACACCTGATACGGAACGCCTGTCGTCAATGTTGCTTCCCCAGTCTGCGTCCGTGAATGCCTCTGCCTTGACACCTTGCGTTCCACTTTGGTAGACAATACCGTGCTGCCGAGTTGTCTTTAAGTACTGCAGGACCCGTATCGCTGCCTTCCAGTGTTGCGTTCCAGGATTTTCTAGGAAGCGTGACAACTGCGTTACAACGTACGCAATGTCCGGTCTAGTGCATGTTGTGATGTACATCAGGCATCCGATCAAGGAACGGTACGGTCTTGACTGCATTTCACGTCGTTCCTTCTCCGTGGCTGGCGACATCATCTTCGAAAGCTTCATGTTGGATGCGCATGGGTTATCCAACATCTTGGCGTTCCGTTGGTTGAAGCGTTCTACAATGTCGTCAATGTACCGAGTTTGCTTGATCATCAGCGTTCCAGCTGCCTTATCATGATCAATCTCCATCCCCAGGATGAACTTTGCCTCGCCAAGCTCTTTCATCTTGAAGGCACTCTTCAGAGCGCCCTTTACTTCGCGAATCGCTTCGCGTGTCTTCGCCGCAATGATCATGTCGTCCACATACAGGCACACGTACACGAATGCGTCCCTGGAACGCTTGACGTAGACACACTGGTCGGCTCCACAACTCTTGAAACCGTTCCGCAGGAACACACGATGGATAGTCTTGTTCCATGCACTTGCAGCTTGCTTCAAACCATATATGGCCTTTAGCAGCTTGCACTTCATGCATTTAGCGTTCTCGAGACCAAGTGGAGCGTCCATGTAGACCAAATCCACCAAACCACTGTTTAGGAACGCTGTGTCAGCATCCAGTTGCTCCATAATGTAGTCGCATGCCACACACACAGCGAGTACAACCCGAATCGAGTTCATGTTTGCAACAGGAGAATACGTCTCAAAAAAATCGATTCCAAACTTCTGCTTGAACCCTTGAGCTACTAGGCGTGCCTTGTAACGGATAACACGACCGTTCTCGCCACGCTTCTTGGTGAACACCCAGCGACATCCAATGGAGCGCGTAGCCGTTCCACATGGAACCAACGTCCACGTTCCGTTCTGGGAATGAGAGTGTAACTCAGCCTTCATAGCCCGACGCCATTCAGCTGCTTCATCACTGGCGATAGCTCCTGCGTACGTGTTCGGCGTATCCGGTAGGCCTCCGATGCTGGCCGCGTATGCCAACACTGCCTCTGCGAGTAAACAGTCTTCATCGATCCTAGGACGCTTAGGAGACGGCGGTCCATCACTACCTCTTTCAGACTGGCGTTCCACATCGTCATCGTAGCCGTTCCCAAGCAGAAACACCGGTTCCCGAGGTCGGGTTGAGCGTTCCGTTTCAGGATGGAAGATTATCCGGTCCTCTTGGAACGCAGGAGGTTGTGAGCGGTACGTTGCCAGCTCCAGTCCACTCGAACGGCGTTCCTCCGGTGCGGGTAGCTGTGGTAGCCCGGCGTTCCGTTCCGGTTCAACATCGTCCATCTCAATGTCTTGAGCAGGTTCTTCCGCTTCTTCCATCGGTTCATCTTGAACAGACTGTCGTTCCACTTCTGGAGCTGGAACCACGGTATCGTCATTGTTCCTTGTCACATGGATGATCGTTCCAGAAGCTGGCGACGGCGTGTCATAGATACCGCCCACCTCACGCTCGTCCAGCTTTGCCGATCGTGACACCTTGACCTTGGATGCATCCAAGTCGTAGACACGATACCCTTTTACGTTCTCTGCGTATCCGAGGAACGTGCACCTGAAGCTCTTGGGTTCCAATTTCGTCTCTTCACGTCATCCACGTGAGCGTACCCTTGTGATCCAAACACGCGTAGGTGTTCCATCCGTGGCTTAACTTGGAACGCCAGCTCATATGGCGTGACATCCGAGTTGGATGTGTTCGTGGAACGGTTGATAAGGTACACTGCAGTACTAACCGCTTCAGCCCACCACTCCGTCGACATAGACTTGTAGTGTAGCATGCTTCGTGACTTCTCCATGATGGTACGGTTCATGCGTTCCGCAACACCGTTCTGCTGAGGGCTGTATGGAGCGCTGCGTTGATGCACGATGCCATTCCGCTGACAGAGTTCCAATACCGTCTTGTTTATTAACTCCGTTCCATTATCGGAACGCAAGCACTTCAATCGTACCCCCCACTGATTTTCATACAGCGCCTTGAGCTCTTTCAGCTTGCTGCCCACCTCACTCTTGGTCTTCATGAAGAATGTCACAACATATCTTGAGTAGTCGTCTACAAAGGTCAGCACGTACTTGGCACCCCCCTTTGAGAGCGTTCTCATTGGTCCCATAACGTCCGTGTGTACTAGTTCCAACACACGCGTTGTCTTCGTCAGTGATCGTGACGGGAACGCTGTCACGGTCTGCTTTCCCTCCATGCATCCACCGCACAAAGTCTCGCGCCCCCTTCTTACTGGCGGGATACCGGTCGTGGAACGCTGGGTCTTCGTCAGTGCGTCCTTGTTGGGGTGACCCATGCGAGCGTGCCAAAGCTCCCACTCGCTGTCAGGACCGGCGTATTCCACGAAACGGGCCTCCTCCTGCTGACAGTCCAAAATGAACGCCTTACCGACCTTCTTCCCTGACGCTATTGCAGCGTTCCGTCCCCAAATTACACAGCTGGAACGCTGAAACTCCACACTCATACCGCGTTCCGCGAGCTTCCGACTGACAATAAGCGTCTATCGAGCCCGGGGATGTGGAGCACGTCCACCATACGGATGCGTCTACCGTCCAAACCAGTCAACTTGACCGCTCCAGTTCCTGCGACGTGCAGCTTCTTGCCGTCTGCAATCGTCACCTCCATGCTAGTGTCCAACGACTTGTACTCCAACAGGTCGTTCCGGTGAGGGGTCATGTGCGACGTCGAACCACTATCAATCAGCCACCCGGTCGAGCGTTCCCCACCAACTGCAAACACTGCATCGTCTTGGCTACCCTTCTTCGTAGCAGGACAGTCCCGCTTCATGTGGCCCACGTGGTCACAGTTGAAGCACTTGCCCTTGAAACCAACGTTCCGCTTCGGAGCGGTCCACTTCCGACCGTTCCCTCGGCCGTTTCGGAACTTGCTTGCGTTCCCATTCACTTGGAACGCCTTCTCCGTGGTTTCCTTCTTCTCGAGTCGCTCATACTCCTTCAACAGCTTCTCCTTGGCCTCGATGAGCGTCACACCCTTGGCGTTCTCCAGGATAGACGATATGAGCTCGTATTCGGCGGGGAGGCTGCCACCAGCTGACGTGCCTCGTCCATGGGCTCTCCCAGCGTCTGCAAACCGACGATCAGCTCATCGAACGCATCCAGATGCTTGGCCATAGACGATCCGCTCTCCATCTTGAACTCGTGCAGTCGACGCGTCATCGTCACGCAATTGTGGAGCGTGGTGCGATTGTAAAACTCGCGGAGCGTTTCCCATGCTTCCATGGAACGCATCGCCGACCGGATCTTGGTCTGGCGCTGGAGTTCCACACCCTGGGCGATGATGCCAAGCGCCTTGGCATCGTTGACGAGCCACGCCTCTGTGATCTCGTTCTCAGGCTTGACGACTTGAATATGCGCAAGCAAGCCCTTTCTGGCTAGCGTCATGCGCATATTGTACTCCCAATGGAAGTAGTTCCCACTCCCGAGGAGGACTTCGGCACGCTTGGTAGTCGTCATGGTCTTGAGCGTTCTTGCGTGGAGCGTTCCGTTTCTTGAGCGTTCCTGCGTAAAGCGTTCCGGTCGAGTTGAGGTTGCGGCTGTTAACATGTTGTTGTTGTTAACGGTATATGCCGAAGTGAGTAGATTAATGTCAATTAG